GAAGGTTGGCAGTTTGAACCCTTCAGCCACTCTGTGGGAGAAAATTGTGGCAGCTTGCTTCTGCAAAGATCACAGCCTTCGAAACTCTGTAGGGCACTACCACTGTCTTACAGAATCACTAGGAGTTTGAATCAACTTGAAAGCAACAGGTTGTAGGTTGTGATGAGGCAAAAGGCATTAATTTCTGGCAAGTGATTAAACCTTAGCAGGTATTCAATAAACGTTAGCTAGTCTCTCTGCAATGGTTAATGGAAATGGGTAACAGCAAAAGAATACCACAAAGAATTGAAAACAGGCTCAAAAGACACTTGTATACCAACATTCATTACAATATTATCCACAATAGCCAAAAGATAGAAAGATCCCAAGTGTCCATCAGCAGATGAATACATCAACAAAATCCTTTATGGTATATCTACATAATGGAATATTACTCAGCCGTAAAAAATAATGGAATTCTGATGCATGCTACAACACGGATGACCTGAAAATATTATACTAAGTGAAAAATATATAATATCTCTAACAGGCAAATGCATAAACCAAAACCCACTGTACTGAGTTGATTCCAACGCATATCAACCCTATAGGATACAGTGTAACTGCCTCAGAAGGTTTCTAAGGCTATCATCTTTACAGAAGCGGGCTGCCACATCTCCCAGGAAACTGCTGGAGGGTTCAAACCTCTGACCTTTCAGTTAGCAGCCAAGTGTTTAACCACTGTGCCACCAGGGCTCCTTACACAAATGCAGAGATGCAGAAAATAGGTTAAGAGGTTACTGGGGCTACAGGGATGAGGTAATGGATAAGTTTTTAAGTGGGACAGAGTTTCTGTCTGGGATAATGAAAAAGTTCTGGGAATCATGGTGATGATTACACAGCACTGTAAATGTACTTAAGCCATTCAACTGTACACTTAAGAATGGTGAAAATTGTCAAAAATAGTAATTAATCCTACTAGTTAAAATTGTAAGAGAGAAAATAAAAAAAGAATGTACCAAAAGAGTGGAATGCCAAAAACAAAAGTGTACTGGCTCTAGAGTCAACTGTTTGGGTTCAAATCCTGGCTTTAGCTTTACCTTGGGCAAAGCTACCTCTTTTCTCCATGCCTGTTTTCTCTTCTGAAAATGGTGATATTACCTGCTTCATAAGTATGTCCTATAGACAACCAAAAAAACCCAACTCACTGCCATCGAGTCAGATCCCACTCACAGTTACCCCTCCTTGGGTTTCCGAGGCAATTATCACTATGGAAGTAGATTGCCCAATCTTGTTTCCAAAGAGTGGCTGGTGGGTTTGAACCACCAGCCTTCTGGTTAGCAGTCAAATCCTTTAGGCACTACGCCACCAGAGCTCCTTGTTCTATAGTTAGGTGGTTTTTAAACTTGGGTATCTATCACCAGGGGAAACTTCAGAAAAATACAGAGGGCCAGGTCCTGTCCTCCATAAATAAGCTTGGGCTTGTTTTATTAGCTTTCCAGCTCAGTGTAATACTGAAGTTTGAGAACTGATGTAAGGTACCACCTAAAAAGTGGACATAAATACTTCAAGTATAACATGACCAATACAAAATAACAGTGGGGCTAATACCTTCCTTTTACTATACATTGTTCTACCAACTTAAAATTACATTTACTTTTTAAAATTGTATCACTGGATTAACAAATGTACAGTTATAATGATTATGTATTTTCCATATCCTCTTTCTGAACACTAGTGTTTTAGACTCTAAATGCCAAGCTTTATCATTATTCTTATTAAAAGGTAAGAGTACTAGGGCTAAGAGTTGTGAATTTCTATTTCTAAATTTATTAAGGGCCCTGCAAATAGACTTACCTTTAAGGGAGTTATTACTTCAAACTTAAAGCCCCACACTTATGTCATGAACATACTTAGCCCAAATAAAGGTATACAAGTCTATCAATCATTAAACTGACAACTGATTCTACCAAAACATCTGTGCAGAGCTTGTGGCCAGCACGATGAAGAAGCACAAAGCCCTAATACTGACAGTTTTTAGAGCATGATGGAACAAACTTCAGATAAGTATAGTACTAGAGTTCCCAAGGTGGACACATTAGTGCTATAAAAACAAATAACTACTAGTGGAAAACCACTGGGCCAAAGGAAACTAAATTCCCCTGATGCTCAATATTTTGTTTGTTTGGGTTTGTTACTTATACTTACAGAGGACATGAAGCCCATCAATGAGTTCATCCACACTTACGATATGAGAGAGACACTGGGTAAGGGACTCATGCACATTCAAAAAAAGGAACAAAGATTCAAAATTTCACGTGATGATTTCAGAACTCCTAAAACCTACCTGTTATTATTTCTAACTTACAACGTACTCAAGGGCAAAAAGTCCATTCTACAGGAGATGAAGTCTATTAAACACCTCAGTAATTATAAAGACATCTTAGTAATGCAAGGGATGAGGGGGCTACAATCAGGTAAAATGGACCAAGATCCAATTAGATACTTGTTTTCCTTTTAATAGCAAACATTAAAAATACACCTGGCATTTTCTAACAATTACATGAAGAATGACCAGATGCTTCCTGTTGATGGAACAGTAGAGAATTACAGACTGACAGACTCAGATTAGAGTTCACAGAAACAACTGAGAAAGAATTCAGCTTCCTATCAAAACCATTAAACCAAAATAAATATGACAAAGTTTCACACATCATCATAACACTGTCCCTAAACCTAAAAACTTCAGACTAACTCAGGAAGACTGGTAACTCTAAGGGTACAAATAAGTGTAACAGTATTTTATTAAAAATATTCTTTCTTTCTTTCAGCAAAGGTTTCACTGTAGAATTCTTTTTAAATCTGGAGCTCCTTTGGTGCTTTTAATGTTCTTTCTTCTTATTTACACACAGGTTTCACAAGTACATCTAAGAAAGGATTCATGTTTTACTTGTGTACATCATTAAAAATAACTAATGGAATTGGAAATTAAATATAATCACTTAAAATATTTTCAAATGTTCAGGAGTCTCCAGGACCATACACAGATCAGAGGATCTTTATTCGTGATATTTTTTATGCACCTAAATCTCAACTTTATAAAAAAGTTAGAGCCCAAGGAAAAGAGTATAGGAATCAACCTTCTTACCCTTATTTTTTATGTGTCTTACATAATATCTTGATGTGACTTGTATGGTGAGAGCATGGCAAGAATGACACTTTTCTCAGCTTAAAAAGAAAAAAAAAAAAAGAGGTATGAATGTGCAACGGAGTTTTCCAGCAGTTACATGGTATGATACCCCAACAGATTAAATGCAGTAGACTTAAGAATCTATCAGTCTTCTATTAAACCAGGTATTAAAAGAGATTTGCAGAAGTGAGTTTATGATAATGAGGAAGAACAACTCAGAAACAGACAGTGAGAATGGAAGATGCACAACTCAAAGAAACCAATCAATGCCCTGGATTGTACACGTAGAAATCGGTAAACTGGTGTATGTTCTGCCGTGTATATTCTCAACAAAAAAGTAAAATGTCATAATAAAAAGTGATTTACAGAAATGCGAAGCAATGCTTCTTCACTAGTGTCATTTATGTCAATATGTAATGAATTAGTAAACACTTAAACGACAAAAAACTAAGAAAAATAAAGCAGTCTAGTTTCCTTAAATTCAAAGTCTGAGTGGAAGTGTCAAGGATGATGGTTACACGTCAATGAGAAGAAATTTGAACCAAGCTGAGTGGGTCTCTAAGAGGGACAAAGCATCTGCAAAAATATTTTTTTAAGCATTAACTTCTGTATAGCAAATTATGGTGCATCTTTAACTCTGGGATGGCAAGCTGCTTTACAAGGATCTTTTACTTAATCAAACCTTTTTCCAGACAAAAAACTACATCTGAAAGTAACTTGCCTGAATCGACTCAGCAAACCAGTGTCCAGAGAGAGAACTTAAAACATTTGCCATTACCAAGCCTCCTTCGTAAGTATTGTGGTCTCGGCCTCTCCTTTGAACAGTTGTCTGCTTCGCCAACAGTCCAATCACGCTTAAAGCAAGGGTATATGTACTGAAAATAAGTTCAAAGTGGGAAAATACACACAAAGCAGGCCTAAAACATTCTTTTGGTTTCAGTTTTCACGATGCACCCGTGAGACTAGGCAGCCTGATTCAACAAGGTTGAAGCTCTTCAACAAAACACATGAAATACACACGGATTAACTGTGCCCAGGCAGAAATGACCCGGCAAAATTCTCAACTTCCTTCCTGAAACCATGCACCCGCAGGTCCCTCAGCAAAGACACAGTCTTGAGCATCCAGAAGGGCAGGCTTCGTCCCTTCAGGGACCGGAGTCCCCATGGCTGAGGCTGTCGCCTCGCCAGCCGGTGCAGGACTGCCTGGGCTCTCCGGTTAACCCTCTCCGAGCCGTTCGCTCACGCGGCCCGAGCGCCTCCTGGTCCCGTGGGCCCTGCAGCACAACGCGCCGGGGGCCCGTCGCCCCTTCCCCGCGTCAGGGAGTTCAGCGGGGCCGTGAGGCCGCTCAGACAAAGAGGTCGGCAGCACCGTGGGGCGGCGAACGCTCCCGAGTCTGAGCTGCGCCTGTCTCTTCCCTCTTCCGCCCACCGCCCGCTTCCCGAAGCCTGCTGAGCCCCCCCTGCCCTGGCGCGATCCCGTCCCGGCCCCGCCGCTCGGGCCGGTCTGGTGGAAGCTGTGGGAAGGCCGCGGAGCGCCAGGGCCGAGGAGGGGGCGGCGGCCGCCACCATGTCTGCCCGCCCTTCCCAGAACCGGGGTGCCCAGCGGACAAAGCGCGGCGGCAGCGCGGGCAGAGCGGGCGTCCAGGCCGACCCCGCCGACCCCCACGGAATAAGCGGGGCCAGGAGCCCCGGAAACCCGGCGCCTTAATGCAATAAACAGGAAATCGCGGGGATGATCTGGGTTCCGGGGGAAGTGGAATTATTTTTTACCAGCGAAGAGATCAACTTCCACATCCGGTGGTAACAGGGCCCTACACAGACCCGCACTGACCTGGAAAAGCTTCGGGAGCGGCACTGGGGGAGCAGCAGGAGGTGGTGCAGAGACCCAAGACGCCTCGTACCCGGCCGGGCTGACGCAGCCCCGCTACACACAAAGCGCTTCAGCTGCACAGGGCGCTATTTTCCGAAAATGCCGCGTCTGGTCGGCGCCCAAAATCCCCACCGAAAAGTCCCCCGTGCTGCGCGCGGAGGGACACATGGTGTGCGAGTGAGTCAAAGCTCCCAGCATCCCTCCTGGACCCGGCCCTCTAAATCATTTATCCTTAGACTTTTTCGCCCCTGCACTTCTCTAAAGGTCCTTCTCCCACCCAGCCACCGGACACCATTCTGGCTGGAGAAAGTGGGGAGATAAGTGATTTTTCTTTTTAACGAAGGGGAGGAAAATATGTCATTTCAAGAACTTCTGCCACACAAAGAAACGGCGGAATGATCTGCTCTTAGAGACCGCAAGTCCCGGCTCGCCCGGCGCCTGCGCGGCAGCGAGGATGAGCGCTGCGGCCGGCCATGTGCGCGGCAGAGCTACCGGGACATCCGCGGCCCGTTCCCGCCTCTTTCTGCGAAGGTTAAGAATTTGGAAGCTAAAGTGCGTGTCCTAACCACCCTATCTCTCCGACGTGACCGTTGAAAGACGAGATCCGGACTCCTTCGAACTTAAGCTTACCAGCTCAGCCGCCTAGCAGAATCCTGGGAGACCGAAGGGCAGCCAAGGGGCTAGGATTGAACATAAAGTGGCCCTAGACTCAACTAGGCAAACTGGGACGGGAGTCGCTATTGAGGTACAAGGTGAAGAACGGAGGATGTTCCTTCTCTTCGCATAAACTGAGCTGTCGGGTTTATGACGATGATAGACCTATTCCTGTGGCATTTTTTTTTTTCCTTAAACATTCACATGGTGTCTCATACCTCGTAGACCCTAATAACTGCTCCCTGGATTACTAGCATTGTCACTTCAGCAAGTAGGTAGAGGTCTGTTTTTCCGTGGCTAGGCTGTCAAGATGTTTGTTAACTTCATTAATTTCATTTTAAAATGGTGATTTGCTTTGGTGAAAGCCTTTACGACTTCATTTACATTTATGACTTGCTTAGAAACCCAATATTGGTGTATTTTTAACGGGAGGAGTCTGGGAATGGCTTCCCAACCTATTAACCATGCAATTTTTGACATCCAGTATCTAGGAGTTGGGAATATCTGGGACACTGCCAAGAGTTTAAGCCAGGAGAGCAGATGAATTTAATGAAGTTAATAATTATACTGCTTATTGATTTTGTATTGCCTCAGGTAAATAATCTTTCTACCTTTACCCTTTTTTAGTGTTGGTATAGTAAAAATGTGTAAAGTTTTTGTGTAACTTACGAAAGCATTATGCTTAAAATAGAAACAAACTAAATGACCTAGGAGCAAGTTTTCTGTGTTTTCCTTTGGTTTAATTTTTGCATTGCTTCAGTGGTAAACATTTGTGGGAGTTTCATGTCACATGCTTTTCTGTAACATTGTGTTTATTTGAGTAAACATTCCGGTGAGAGTTCTTTCTATAACTCCTTGCTCTCATGACTTATTATACTGTAGAATGCAGACAAGTCGGTAGGCATCATCAGTATGAACAAGGTAAGGTAAGCTGCTGAATAGAATCTCTTAAAGGAAGAACCTTTTACTCACCTGGGAAGGTGAGGGCAAAAGGAAGAATGGAGTGGGATTGGAGAAGCAATTCACTTTAATAGGGGAGCTGGGAAAGGCCCTTTGGCACAGAAGAAGCAGTGAGTGCAAATGTAAGACGCTAGAAAGATTATTGGGTGAAGAAGGCAGTGCTGTTTCAGATGAGATATAGTTCATGTGAAGTCATGAGGGCCTTGAATGCCATGTGCAAGAATTCACTCAGAGATAAGAAGCTAATGAGAGATTTCAAATGGAGTGTCATAGGATTGAGTTTGCATTTTAGAAAAAGCACTATTAAAGAAAACTTGGAGGCAAAGTAAACCATTTGGAGAAAACAGTAATGCTGAAGAGAGTGATAACTTGCACTGAAGAAAAATGGCCAGAGTGAGTATGAAGAGCTTTGTGATTTGGTTGACTAGATGAGAGAAACATCAAAGATGATCTAAGTATGTTGGTAGAGCACTAATAGGATGCTAATGTCTTCAGTGAGATTAGAAACAAGGGAAGAAGAACACAGCGTATTGGGTAGGAATAAGGTTCTGTTTTAGCTATGTAAAATTTGAAGTGTCAGTGAACCAACCAAGCAAATGTGTCCAGAAGGCAATTAAATGTCTTTCCATTAGCACTTGTTTGAAGAGTACCCACGCTGTGCCTGGCACTGTTCCACACATTACTTAAACATAGTAGAAATAAGACAGAGTTCCAGCTCCTGTTTGTAATGGACCATTAAAACATTTATTTTAAAAAAAAGACCAGGAAAGAAAATATCCCATAAATTCCATGAAGAAAATATAAGGATGATTGCATTAAGTGTTTCTGTGGGATAGAGAGCAGGCAAATTTTTGATGGTTGGTCAGAGATGGCCTTGTTGTTGTTGTTGTTGTTGTTGTTATGTGCCATTGAGTCGGCCCCGACTCATAGCGACCCCTCCTTGGGTTTCCGAGGCAGTATCACTACGGAAGTAGGATTGCCCAACCTTCCTTCCGAGGAGTGGCTGGTGGGTTTGAACCGCCAGCCTTCTGGTTAGCAGTCAAGTGCTTTAGCCACTATGCTACCAGAGCTCCTGAGCAGATATTCTCTGAGCTTATGGCCTGAGTGGAAAGAAGTCAGGGGCAATATGCAAGACCAAAAGGAATAGCTGGGCAAAGGCCCTCAAGTGAGAAACTATTTGTTATGTTTAGGGAACAAAAAGAGGCCAGTGTGGCTGAAGTCTAGTGAGCAAAGGAGGAAATGCTAGAAGAACTCCACACCCTTGGTAAGAAAAATTTAAGTGCCATGGGAGCCACTGAACGGTTTTAAGGAATGGAGTAGCATGGGGTATGATATTAGCATTACAGATGAAGAAATTGGATGGATGCAAGATGTACTTTGTGATTAGACCTGACCAAACAATCAAAACATGAAAGGGAACAGGAATCAAGATTGATTCATTCCTAAGTGTAATGGGCATGGTTATCTGGATTGGTGCTATCCATTAGAAATGTAATGCAAGCCATGTGTAATTTTTAATTTTCTAGTAGCTACAAAACAGAAAAACTAACTCCCATTGAGTCGGTTCCAACTCATAGCGACCTCTCCTTGGGTTTCCAAAGCAGAATTGCCCGGTCTTCCTTCCGAGAAGTGTTCTGGTTAGCAGTCAAATGCCTTAGGCACTTCGCCACCTGCGCTCCTAGTAGCTACTGTAGTAGCTACAGTAAAAAGAAACAAGTGAAATTAATAATATCTTTTATTTAACCCATTATATCAAAATACTATTTCACATGGTTGATAAATTAGTAAATATTTTTACGTGTTTCACATTCTTTTTCTCATTGCTGAGTGTTTGAAATCTAGTCTGTATTTTACACTTAACAGCACATCTCAATACTTGTATTTAGATTTCATAAAATACACGGTTGGAGAAGTAAATTTGCACACCCGAGTCATTCTAAACCTACTTATATTTCCCAATAACTAAATCAAGTATTGGGTTTTGCTTTGTTGTTTTAATTTTAAATTAAGTAAAATTAAAAATTCATTTTCGCAGTTACACTAGGCATATTTCAAGTGCTCAGTAGCCACATGTGGTTGGTTGCTACCATATTGGATAGTGTAATGTAGTGGAACAGAAAATAATGGAAAGTCAGACCATAAAATCTTGATTGGAACCAGCCAGGAAAGTCTTGGACGACAGGTTAAAGAATTGGGATTTTACCCTAGATACATGGAGAACAGTAGATGGTTTTTGAGTTGAGAGTTAAACTATCATCCTTGAGGCTAGTAAGAGGCCACTAAGTGGCCAGTTAAGCACTCAGGACTAAGAGCAAGCAACCCGTCAGTTCGGTCCCCACACTCCAGGCTCTGACTTCAGCCCTGTGGACTTAGAAGTTTGATTTTTGTCAGTACTCTAGAGCAATGCCACCAAAAGTATGGTCCACAAGCTTGTGTCAGTCTTTTAACCCTCTGTTTCTGGTCCATGACAAGGCATTTGCAGAAATTGAGACTAAGAATTTAGAAACTTAAAAGCAATTTAACAGTAATTTTGTGTGTGGAACTAATAAGAATTTTGAGCTTGTATCATATGTCTTTGTTTTTGTTTTTTTATTTCCCTTTTCTAGTAATTCATTTTCATTGTATTTTATTTTAAAAATTGTATAGTTTTTCACCATAGAAAAATTTTGAAGCACTGCTCTACAGGTCCTCAGAAAAAGGGAGTCAGAAAGACCAAGTTCCTAGAAGACTTAGCTAAATCCAAATGCCTCTTTTTACTTTGTAGTGAGAACTATAATGGCTCAATTTCTCACTCTCTATAGAGATAGAAGACTACATGGAAATAACAAAGTTTATAATGTTGTTGGTATTTAGTTAAGTCAATTCTGACTCTTGGTGACTCTGTGTGTGCAGAGTAGAACTGCTCCTTAGGGTTTCCAAAGCTATAAATCCTTAAAGAAGCAGACTGCCACATCTTTCTCCCATACAGCAGCTGGTAGATTCAAACATCTGACCTTTTTAGCAACCTAGTGCTTTAACCATTGTGCTACCAGGGAAGTTTATAATAGCTTAAAGTTTATAAAAGAGTAAATGAAATTGACTGTATTACTTCCCAGAGCTTTTTTTTTTTTTTTTTAGTGAATTTGGGGCCAGAGTAAGGAAACTTAATAGTATTCTAACAGCATCGAGCAAATGCATTCATTTCTATGATAGAAATATGTCTGCTTTGCTCCTATCTAGAATTTACAAGAACTTCCATAAATCAATAAGGGAAAAAAAAAAAAACTCTACAAAAATGAGTAAGAGTATTGAACAGTCACTTCAAAAAAAGAAGATAACTAAAAGGCCATTAAACTTGTAAAAGTTCTCTTATTTGTTTAATTATTAGGGAAATGCAAATTAAAACCATAGTAAGGTAAACCAGTGTACACTCACCAGAATGGCTAAAATGGAAAATGTCAAATGTTGACCAAGATTTAGAGCACTTTAAACACACTACACTTCTGATAGGAATGTATTTTGTATAACTACTTTGGAAAATTCAAAGTTCATAAAATGCAAAACCAAACTAGATTTAGGGATATACATGTAAGTGGTAAAAACAGTAAAGAAAAACAAGGCGGTGATTATAATAAAAGATTGGATAGTGGTTACCTTTGGGATTTAGTGCTTAGGAGGCTACCCAGAGGGCTTCTGGATTGCTGGCAATGTTCTATTTCTTGACTTGGGTGGTGGTTACATTGGTGTTCATTTTGTGATTAATTGTGCTATAGGTTTTATGTTGTATACTTTCAG